AATTTTACTGTTGCTTAACTGCATCCAGTTTAAATGTGTTTAAAATCTTTGATATAGGTAGAAAAAAATTGGCTGTTTTCCTGTGTTTTTATTTATTATGCAGAACCACTGTTATTTTGTATTAAAAACATTGATTCATTGAGTTTGTTTCTCTCTTTATACTTAAACACTTTAAGGAAACACTGTATCTGTTGAGTAAGGTTTTGTTATTGTTTTAGTCTCCTTATTTTTTCTCCTGACTTTTTAAATATTAAACTGTAGCATATACATCAAGTACAAAAATGCTACAGTGGATAATCGGTACAGAAGTTGAATTGCTTTATAACTGCTTTTATCAGCATATAGTTTAGTGTGCTGAGACTGACACGGAAACCAAGAGACTTTCCATTAGTGCTCTTCACTGTTTTCCATGTAGCCTGTATTTGAATGTTACCTTTCACCATACTGAAATTAGGCTTTTAGTTATAAGTTTTAACATCTCTACACAAACTGAATCCATTTCTGCTTGAGGAAATGCACCTGTGTTGTTGTGTTTGATCCTAGACTCACTTGTGAGTCAAATAGTAGAAGCACCTGGAAGAGAGAGAGAGAGAGAGACAGACAGACAGGGGCGTAGGCAGGGTGAGAGAGAGACAGGAGTGGTGATTTTCTGCTGTCCCAAGACTCTTTTATCCTTAAGACCATTTCTGAGGGCAGTTTGTCTTCACAATCTTTCAACCACATAAATGATATAAACCGTATAAATGATACATATATCTTATCATGATATGCTACACCATTTTTTGTTTTTATTTTTTGGCACAGAATTCTACTACTGGACTCAAATAAATGGCTGTATCTACAGTTGCTGTTAATCTTTCCCTGAAAGTATTTAATACCATACACACACACATACACACACACACTTTTCTCATAATCTGAGTGTTTAGTTTGCCTGAGAAGTCATGCCAACTTTATTGATTTTATAAGGATTTGATGGTGTAACAGCTTCATGTAAATCTGTTGGTATGCAGTATATGCCAAACAGTAAACTCCTCCTCTTTACAATACCATAACAGACAAATTGTCTATATTTATAATCATTAGAGAATACTTGAAATTTCTGTGCATTTGTTTTCAGATTACAGTATGTGAATGAAGCAAGTTTTTTCTTGTTATAATTCCTTTATTTTCAAATTTTAATTGGCACAGTTCCTTTAATTTTTTCTTGCACTCAAGTCCGTCACAGAATACCTCAATATTGATGCACTGATGAAACTGATCCTACTACTTCACCTTTATCAATGTTTTAGTCACTTAAATACATATTCAGATACATTTCCAGAGAGATCTTCTGCATTAAGTTTTCTGTAACATTTTGTCTGCTTTCTGTAACAATCCTGATTATGTTCCTTTCCCATAAATATAAGTCATTTTTCACCCTGCCCTCAGAATTTTGCAAACACACACTAGCCTTTTTTGTAAGATTGGCTTCCCTCCTGTCCAAAATCAGGTCATTTAATAACAAGAGTTGGCAGCATTTCAAAGTCTTATACTTTCAGGACTTTGAAGATTACAAAGATTCTCCTCTGCTGTCTTTTGGAGTTCCATTTTATTAATCAGACAGAAAGCCATTTTGGCCAAAGTTACTTAATCATTTGGATGATATGGTATAATTTGAAATGGGCAAATCCATATTTCTCATTAGGATAAAATCTTTGATATTGATGAATGATTAATGGACTGCCAATGTAAACTATAATATTTCTGTATTAGCTGGTTTTGGGTCAAAAATTCATGAATAAACCAAATGAACACAATGCAGTATATATTACTGAGACAGAAAAATGCAGTGCTCAAAAAACTCCCATCCAGTCCATTTAAAAAATGCATTCCAACATATTTTCATTTTTTGTTCATATAAATAGTACTATTGACTTTTTTCCATATGAAGATACAGATTAATCTAGGTCCTACAAGTCAAATTTTATTAATTTTAATAATTTCTAAGAAAACAGATGGTGTCTTACACTTAACTAGATGATTTATTTTTTTTGTCTATTGATTACTCCAGACAATTATGCCAGAATTGTAATTGGTCCTGTCAAGGATTCAATAAAATTTCACAATTTGTTTTCATTATTATTGAGCAAAGTCTCTACTGAGTTTTAGATATGAGAAAAAAAAAACTGGCAGTGGGGACAGAAGGAATCACAATCTGAAGTTGTAGTGCATGGGATTTCTGGAATGATGGTTCATGCTGCTGTTCCAAGGCACGGAATGTTAAGGATTAAAGAAGATGACACTAGGGAGATTTGACTGGGTGCAGAAGGAGGAACTGAAGAATAAAGAGTACTAGGCATATATGCTATGCCATAAATACATCTAATTCATGTTTCTAAACAAGTCAGGGACAGATTTAACTCTTTTGGGTTCAAAAGTGGCCATTCAAATATGCGTAGACAATGAATTGTTGCATTACAGAGTTGAATTTATTGAGAATTCAAAGTATTCATTTAAAGATGAAAATATTAAATCTTATATCCCTATTTTACTGAAGTAGCAGCTCTGATGTGCAATTTTAAGACAGGAAAATAAACATATCAAAAAATTGAAACACCTGTTCAGGGATGAGAATTTGCTGCGGGCATGGGAAAAAAAAGAAAAATAAAGCTGGCTTATGCATGATGAAAGCTTTTTGCTTTTAGTTCTTCAAGTGCAAATAGACTGGTAACAATTGCTTTGGCAGCAAGCTAAAATATATTTCCTACTCCCCTTTTCATATCAGACAGTTCATGTTTTCCTCATGTACCTCTAGGAGGTTACCCATACATTTTTATGAACATTCTTCTGACAACAGTACAGAAAAATATTCATCCTTTGAGAGAAGAGCAGAAAGAATTATAAATATGCAGCTGGTCAGCCTATATTCTCAGTGTTAGTCCTTAGGACCTATTTTACACTTAGGTTGCCAGGCATCAAAGTAAATCAGACATTGGTTCTGAGAACATTTTTGTTAAAGTGTTTCATCGATGATTGATGATTAGCTATGATTTCTGATGATACTTTTCAAAATAAAGGAGCAGCCTGAACAGGAGGCAGTTACTTATTCCTTTGTTCCATGATGGTCTTCACTTGTATGAGCCTTCCACACTCTGATGAACTAAGTGATAATAACACTAGCTCCACTCAACAGCTTATTTACTGGAAATTAGCAGTTTACAAAAGTTCCTGAAAGGTTTAAGCAAGAACTACCATTTATTACCATCCACAAAGTCATAGATTAAGAAATTAAAGGGTAGCTGAAAGTAAAGTTTCATCTAAAGCAGGGTCAGTTTGCATACTAGAGGCAGTGAATAGCTTTCAGTTCTAATTAGTGTATTAACTTAGCAAATAGATGACTTCCAACCTTTAATTTCCTTTTAAAAATGAATAGTTTCAAGTTCCTTTCCAAATACATTTCCACATAAACTCTTTAACACTTGTTTCATATATATCTATACTGCTGTTCTATATAGGGTAAATGAAGCAGAAGGCAGGTTGCATTTATCCTATGACAAGATGAAAAGCTGATTATGCAGATGAGTGCAGATGAAGTGGAAACCTCTCAGAGATTAGGTTTTGCTCTCAGTGTGCCCTACATTGCAGCCTGACATAATTGTTTCATGTTGGTTGCTTTCTGTGAATTCTGTCTCCATACAAACCACATGCTTGCAGAAAGGGGAGTTACTAACAAAGTAATTGTTAACCTTTGTTTGAAAATAATAAACATCAGAAGAGCAAGATGTACTTTCAGCCAAGGTTTTTTCCATTCTCTAGTCTGCAAACATGTCTCAATATGCAGAGTATGAGCTTGTATAGGTGCCCAATTGATGGTCAGAAAATCTCAGGTAAAAAAGAGAAAACCTCAATTTGCTAAAATTTCAAAAGGAAAGGAAGCTGTGAGAGGTCTAAAGTGATAGGAATCTAATGTTCCCTAATATTTCAAATAGAGGTTGATGTTTTCTGCTTAAGTTCAGCAAAATCATAACTGTTTATGAGAAATCAGCACCGTGAGCTAATAAAGAATAAACTAATTAATGAAGCAGAACCAATGTGACATTTTCAGGAGACTGGAGGTTACAGTGCAATGTCTGAATACTGAGAAGGGTCTTAAACACCAATGGTAATCAGAAGACCATTTCTTTCTCCCAATTGTATTGGTTACTAGAAATATTTTAACCCTAACTCTGTTACTTCTGAATTGTCTCTAATATTTTTACCTAAGTAAGTTGTTCCAAAGACCTTTTGCTTCTTTTATGGTGTCCTCTAGAATGGAAAACTTTCAGAGAACAGTAGAAGGAAGGTTACTTGTAGAAAAGTAACATTCAGACCAATAAACTGTCCTTGTTCCATCTAAAACTCTATTCTTTGAAATAGCTAGGTATTTTACGAGGTGGTTTAGGAATGCGGCTTGTATTTACCTCTCTAAGCAGTGCTAAGAGTAAAGGGAAGGATTCCTTGTCCTCTAATGTCGCAGCTGAGAGTTATGTCTGGCTTGCTTGAGGGCTGTATTGCAATCACTGGGGTGAGCGGCAGGGACAGGATTGGCAGCGATGCTCTTCCAGGAGCAGAACAGATTTGACGGATTATGCAACGGCTGTTAATGACAAAAATAAGCAGGCTGACGCCTTGATGCGTTCGCTCCCCGCAAGCCCCCGCTCTGCCGGAGAGCCCGCCTGGTGCCGCGGTGAGCGGCGCAGGAGCGGGCCCTCCCGCGAGGGCCGGGCCGCAGCGGCACCGCCCGCGCGCCCCGAGGGCCCCGTGCCCGCCGCCGTGGCCCCGCGCGGAGCGTCCGCGCGCCGCGCGCAGCCCCGCCGATTGGTCAGACGGCTGTCAGTCCTGACGCCCCCCGCCGGGAGCGAGCGGCGGGCGCGCGCACAGCGCGGGGCTCCGCGCCGGGAATTAGCCGGGACGCGGCAGCGGTCGGGGGCAGGAGGGGGGGGTGGCCGGGAATAGCGCGGGGCAGCTGCAGTCCTGCAGCTACTCGGCATCTTGTTTCCTCCCCTGCGCCTGAAACAGCAGCAGGAGCATCGCAGCCCGGGGCGCTGCTTCTCGCAAGGTAATACTCCTTCGTTCGCTTGCCCACCGCTCTGCCCGTCTGCTCCGTTCCCCGCAGTGGCTCTGTCGCAATCGAGTGGATTACAAAAGAAACCCACTAACTCAAGACTGCGGGAGGGGGTCTCTTTAGTCCTCCTTAGCATCTCGTCTGCTCTCTCGGTGGTTATTTTTAGATAGCTTCTGCGGGATCACGAGGGCTGGGATCTCTTAGTTTCTCTTGCAGTCCTAAGAAAGTCGGTAGCTTTCCTCCTTCCCTCTTTCCTGCCTGGGCTATTAGTGTAAATTATTACTGAATTACTTCCCCCCGCCACAAAATGACTCTTAAAACTCTTTTTCTTCTAGTCTGATGTGCGAGATACGTACAGATAAGCGGGGAATGCGGATTGTTATAATTCTGTAGCATTTGATGGGTGCAAATGCTATCAAATGCGCTCAGGAGGGCAGATGAGTGGGAAACACGTGATTAATATTTACAGCGTTCAGACAGTCTGTTACTCGATGTCGCAAAGCTTATCGGAGTCACCGCTGCAGATGAGGTTAATGAACTGTTACCCTGCGTTAGAATGCGTTTGTGTACTGACATCTGCTAATATCTTTTACATACAGGAGAAGGACACATACTGACGTTCTGGAGAAACCCTTCTCTTGCTGTTTTGCACACTCTCCTTTCTTCGAATGCAATATTAAATCGCATTATGATACAACAGAGAGTTGGTCTGGGAACTGTATATAATTAGTTCTTCCAGCTGTCCTATAGTCTTGTCTTGTGATACTTGTTTTCTCAAGAGTGTAGCAGGAATCATAATGAGTCCTTACTTTTCTTGTAGCTTCACAGAAAATCAATCGATTTTGAAAAGTAGCTGAGAAATTACGGAGAAGTTTTGGTTATGTTTCTGGTTTTAGTTATTTATTTTCACCCATCCTTTGAATTGTTCATGATGGTTTAATAATCATTTTACTTGTAGAAATGTCTTGTGCAAGTGTTATCATTAAACCATTCTGTACACATTTAAAGATATCTCTACAAGTATACCAGTAGTATTCCTATGAAGTTTAGGTAAATCGCACATAATATTCTGACACTTTCACCTTTCAGGTAGTTTGGACTGTACTTGCAGGTGAATTGGCTTGTTTGGGTTTAACTGTTTCAGCAGAAACAGTTAAACAATTTTGGATTAAATGGAGAGTGGAAGAAAGAATAACTGCTTTTTGCATTACTATGAAAAAGAAACTGTCAGCTCATAACATCATTAAATTAATTTGAAGGACTGTAGTCAGAATGTCTAGAGATAGAAAGTTGCAGTTTGGTATGAATCAAACTAACGTGTGAGCAATGGAAATTAGTTTTGAGTTCAGCCTATCTCACTAAAAGTCAAGTGCCATGAACACGCATGTTCCTGTATGGGTTTTTTAATAGATATATGTGTAAGGTGTACAGCTACATGGGCATGGGTGACTTAATCATGTAGTAAGTAGAGAACAGGACAATGTTTCCCTAACAATTTGCAACTTGTTAAGATTGAAATAGAGGCATGGGGAAAAGATTAGACTCTCTGTAGAGATTTTCTTACCTAGACAACTATTTCCAGAAAATTTGAAATTTTCCTTTCAGTTTCTGTTTACAGATTTTCCTATCTCTAAAGAGGAAGCGATAGGCAAATACCAAATAAAAATTGGGAAATATCTGTTTTTAAAAATAAATGCCAAGTAATGAGTGTCAACTTTATGCCGACATTTGTCAAGGTGTAAAAATATGGTGAAGAGACATTTCTGTCTGGGATATGAGGAACTGCAGGGTGGTTTTTTTTTGATTGGGTTTGGGTTTTTTTGTTTAACTAGGAAAAGGCCTAGGGCCTTTACGATATCGTTTAACAGGTTGATCTTTTCTTAAGCTTTGGTCCTGCTTTAACTTGCACAAATAACATGTTTGAAAATGGAACCAAAAGTCAAAAGCAGCCTATGCAAATAAACACAAATTATACTCTCTAGAGAGTGGTCAAGAGTAGGAAAAGAAAAGCAAGAACAATCATAGAGGTCTTTGTTAAGGCTTGAGGGTTGGATGGCTTTTTGCTTCTTGCTGTAGTATTTAGGAACTGAATGAGTTCAGTTCTTAAAAAAAATTTTCCATATGCCTTTGTGTTGCTGTTTTCAAAAATTAGCATCCCTTTCTCCACCCCATCTTCTTCGAATCTGAGAAAGTTAGTCAGCTTTTAATTTTTTTTTAGCTCTTTTGACATGAAATATATTGTTTTTCTACCTTTGATCTCGTATGACTTGAAAATATATATAATCTGAATGTATATTCCATTAGCTTTTAAGTATCAGGAAGAGTGCCAAAAACGCAAGAAACTGGCCATCTTGGAGTGATAAAATAGATATAACTCAGTGGACTCTGAACCTAAATCAAGTATAAATAGTTTCTAACATTTCAGCATGTTTTATATATTTAGACATTACTCCTTGATGACAGCCTCTCTTTTTATTAACATGTCACTGCTGTAGTTTGTAGTTGTGACTTGCACATATTTGGGTGACAGTAGGAGCAAAGACTGCATTAATATTGTAGTGACCAAGCAGAAGTTTGTTCTTGTCATTTTTTGTTGACTTTTTTAAAAATCTGATTTTATGTCTAATGATCAGAATAGTTCAACCCTCCTCCGTGGCAGTGGAGTCTGTAGAGCCTGAATCTGCCTGCAATCTGAGGGAGGTTTTTTCTTTTTGCCTTGATCACTTAGCAGTCTCATGCCATTTCATTACATCTTTCCAGATTAATGTTTGTGATTTTGCTTGCCTGTAAGTGTTGCCAGACTAGATATATGTGGGGATAATGGAGGGTTTAGTATCTCCACAAGACCATATATGTTTTGTTGATTTGGGCCCTTAGAAAATTACATAGGGCCTTTAAATTCTTATTATTGAATTGCTTCTGTCCTCCGTTTAGAGAGTCATTGAGTCTTACAGATTATTTTAAATGGCACTATTAAAATCTTGAAGTAAAATCAGTATTTATTATGTTAAGATTTAAGTTGACCATTTTCTCAAAGACATTCTTTTTATCCTGCAGTATTGTAAACTTATTACATTGAAATATTGTGTCTTCATGTGTTAATCTTATTGCTTTTTTTCCCCATGAGGGGTTTCATGTTGCTTAAGTTATAACCCCCTTGGGGGATCTATGCAACCTGTTTAATCTTAAAATAATTTGAGTTTTATAAACCCTTTAAAACATTATTATTGGTAAAAGTGCATTTGGTGTTGACAGACTTGATGAATTTAATAAAAATTCTGTGTTCCATGATAGGACACAGACCAAGAAAATTGCTATGACATATAAACAATTAACCATTTTCAAGACTTTTAAAAAGGTTAATTCATTTGCACTTAGGACTAGTAAAGCAGACTAAATGTATATCTAAACCCCAGTACTTAATATTCTTACTTGTTCAACGGGCCTTTGGAAAACCTATAATCTCTCCTAGCAGTTGGATTTACAATTTTTTTGTTAGTTGTAGTCATATGTCAAAACCATTTAACTATGGATGAAATTCTACTAGAAAGAAGTTGTGCTGAAGAAAACAAATGCAACCGTAGTTCTCTGATTTAACACTTTTTTGTTTGAAGTGTTAATATGATCATCTCAATTATATCCCATTTTATTTAGTACAGCCAAGGTTTTCAAAACTTGAATAATAGAATTTTTGAAACAACTCAAGATTCCTTAACAATAAAGTAATTTCAAGGCCAGTAAAATTTTTGAAGGGGGAAAAGTTAAAAATATTTCTGAATTTATTCTCAACCATTGCATTTTTTTTAAAATATGCATAGTTAAAAACAGGTTTGTTAACTTGTCAAATACATTATTCCAGAAAATTGTTCTTGATTCTTAAAAACTTACTAGGGGGCAGTGTTTTTGACCTTTAGTTACAGAAAAATATATTTAAAACCTGCTGGATTTTATGGAGAGGTTCTTTTAAGGGTATAAAATGTTGTTATGAGAAGTTTTTTTAATTGCTGTTATTATTCTTTAAATTCTATTTCTTTTTTGTCTTCAGCACTGAAGCCTCCTTAGCACTTGCACCTCCTTTTGCACCTGGAATTGCTTCCCTTGCTCATGAAATAGCTCAAACATTTGCTGTAACATAGCCTTTTAGTTTTCTTCTTTGCTTTCCTTAAATACTGTATTGACTTTAAACTTCGGAATATATGGGCCATGTATGTCTCTCAAAGTGATGTTTGGTGAAAGATCTTTGATCCGAAAGGCTGTGTACTAAATGCTTCATTTAAATATCATCATGACACTAACAAGCATAGGCATTCAATAATTAAACAAATAAAAATGTACTTTCTTGCTTTAGAGAACTTAAAGATATTAATACAATACAGAACAAGATGCAGTTCTTTTTGAAATGTTGGCTGTCTGGACAGGCAAAATTAAAGCTTTTGGATAAAGATTAACAAGACAACAATTGTTTTATTTAAAAAAGGTTTATTTAATTCATGTTGGTTTTCTGTAGAAATATCCTATACTTGCTACCAGAAGTGGAAACAAATTACTGTGTATCCTGTAAAACTTACTCATTGATAAAAAATGTTTTATTTTAGGGGGTGTATTTATCTAGGTTAAAACTGGAAAAAATCACGTGTGCAGTTTATGACCCAAGTCTAACATGTACAAATATGATATTGCAAGTTCATATCTTTCTTTCACTATTAGTATGATTTGGTTTTTGTTTTACTTTTCCTGATAGTATAGTATGTTTCTGTTGAAAGATTACGTTTTAGACACGTGAATAGAGGTCTGTACAAGCTTGTTTGGTCTAGTATAGTTTTTTGTTTGTTTGTTTATTACTCAAAAAGCAGCTGACTATTAATTAGTGCAACTTTTCATTAAGACCTCTGTAACATGAGACAAAAGATTTTTTCCTTTTGCCTGTAATTAATTTTTACATCACTATGAGAGTTCACCTGAGTATTAGCCACAATCCCCTGTATACATGGTTT